CGGACAATGCCTCAGCATACTACTGACTTGCCCTGCTGCATTGCAGGCTGTTGACAGACACAGCAGTACCTCAGGAAGGGCCCCTCCCACAGCCTGAGCCTCGAAAGTCATAGGATTCTTAAAGAGGAGAACGCAGAGTCCACAGTACAGACTTCTGGGAAGTCACATGGCAGCTTATGCCAAATCACCTTTTTTGATGCCCTGAGCACCCAAAAGGGAGGGAAGAAGTACGACACTTAGCAAACCAAGCTAGTAAGTGATGGAGCCCGTGCTCCAAACTCTCGCCTCCCCTACCTCTTCCTTGGCATACTTGAGCTTGTATTCCCTCTTCACTGCAGGGTCGAAGCGTGTCTGAGGAAGCCAGGTCTGAATCTGAAGCAAGCCAAGGCCCACCCAGAGGCTTCCGCGGTGGGCTGGCTCAGGCAGATTCCTCTTACTCTCTCCTTCTCCAAAAAGGCTGCGCAGAGAGGTGAGCAGGAGGCAGAGCAGTTCCGTGGGCAGCATCTCTTGACTTGCCATTTCCCCAAGAGTTTGGCCCACATATTGGAAGGCCTGGCTGTCTCCAAGCAGCAGCTGGTCACAGTTCTGCACATATTCCTGCCGCCGGGGCTCTGGGAGCAGCTCGGCTAGGCCCGCCAGGTGCCGACACAGTACCACCCCCTGGAGCTGAGAGTCCGTCCGTCTGTGGGGACCAAAAGGAAGCACTCAAGGGCTCTGTATCAAACAGCATTTGTTTTTCACATCATCATTTTTCAGAAAATGATACTGCTGACTACCGTCAGTACTTGGAGGTGGATTTCAGTTCTCTTGTAATTTTATATATGGTTTTCTAACTCTTACCCCTTGAATCCAAATGCTTAAAATTCACTGGAGAAAATGGCCAACTCATGGCAACTGTTATGGACTGAAAATATGCTGCTCCAGTGAGAAAACTCCTTTGCCTTCGCCCACTAAAACTAGCCACTACAGAAGCCAAGTTCTGAGTAAAGGTCCCTGCTGGAGTCTCTAGAGCAAAGACAGGACCTTGAGAGTGTACTCCTGGGGGATGGGGATACCTGAACTCTGCTATTAAAGGGAGAGCCATGTTGGTCCAAAGCACCGAGCTGACGTCCTGCAGTTGCTGGGCTCTCTCAACCCATTCTCCCAAGGTGACGTGCGAGGAAGACAGGATGGGGAGGCCACTCACATCCCAGGGACTTGCTCTGCAGCTGCTGGTCAGGACTTCAAAGCAGCACTTGGAGAACATGGCTCTGTTGAGACTGCCTGGGCCCTGAGCGACAAGAGAGGAGCCAATTAACTTCTTAGAAATCAACAAGACTTTCAATGAGCAGCACTGGAAGCACTTTAGATGGAGAAAGATGAATAAAAATGGAAGTTCCAAATTGCCAGAAATGGGTAACAATCAGCTATAGACAGGACTGCAGGGGCAGACTGAGTCAGCTCTTAGTAGGCCCTAAAATAATGTGAACTCCATTCTCTATGAAATGAAGAGCAATGGGTGCTTTTCTTATTCAGAGAAATGCCCTCAAATCTGGTCATTAAGGTAGAATATTCTTGCATGTGGGATATGGGACACTGTAGGAGAGTGAGACTTAGAGGCAGGGAGAGGAGTTAAAAGATAAATGCAAAGTATGTTAAATCTGTGCTCCTTGCACTGCTGATCTGAAACACAGTAATAGGTGTCCACAACAAAGGGACAGGTGGTCAGATACATATGATGGGAAATACCATATGCTCTATGCAAGTCTTGAGAATTCATAAGGATTATTACTAAAGCTAACAGACAGTATTTTTCAGGAGTGCATAACTCTGAGGGGCATGGGGGGAAGGTTACTGGGGAGGGAGAGGAGGAGACTGGGTTAGGGTTGGGCATGGTAAAGGGGGAGTCAAACTAAATGTACACATAATGCTGAATGTAAAACAAACTCTTAAAATAAAAAATTTTAAAATAAATAATTAAATAAAGGTTATAGACGATGTTTTTGCAATAAAGAAATCAATTTTGATAGAGTAGTAGAACAGAATAGAATCCAAAAATAACTCCATGTGTATCTGTGGGACTCTAATACACAATAAAGGTGGCATTTCAAATGAGAGTGGAAGGGATGGATTAGTCTCCAATGATGCCACTGCATTTCATCTAGATTTATTGTTTGTATAAAAGAAAAAAAAAAAAAATCACAAAATAAGATATCCAGATGAAACTGGCCTAAATATAAAATTTAAAAAAAGAATATAGAAGAAAACATTGGCAAATGGTTTTCTAACTCTTGAAGTGGTGAAGGAAGACTTTTAATTTTTTTCCCCTTTTTAAAATATAACACCAAAGCCAGAACATATGGAAGAAGAAAAAAAAAGTTTAAAATAAAATTTGTATGATACATAAGAAAACAAACAAACGTGAGCAACAAGAGAAAACAAAAAAAATCCTCCAACTATATGTCAGGCAAAGGTCAATAACCTTAAGATATAAACAGATGTTAAGGCAATAGCAAACTGATGAACCACCTAGTTCATTTTTTAAAAATGGGCAATGACCATTTAAGATGCAACTCTTCCTGTGCGGAGCAAAGAAAAGTGAAAAAAAAAATCAATGACTTAAGGAAACAATTAGTTCAAAGGGCTACATGAATCACGCCTCCACTAGCCTGAGACCAGAAGGACAAGATAGTGCCCAGCTACCATTACCAACCATTCTTACCAGGATCACAACAGAAGGAGTGGGAAAAAATAAAAAAAAAAATCAAAATCATAAAAAAGACCATACTTCCTGGTCTGATAGAGATAGCAGAATCTCCAAGACTATGGCCTTTAAACCAAAAAAACCGAAGTCACTGCTGTTGAGTCGATTTCGACTCATAGTGACCCCTCCTTGGGTTTTCGAGGTGGTATCTCTATGGAAATAGATTGCCCAATCTTCCTTCCAAAGAGTGGGTGGTGGGTTTGAACCGCCACCCTTCTGCTTAGCATTCAAATGCCTTAGGCAATACACAGCCTTCAAACCTGGAATTGAACCCACTCCTGGGGATCACTGTTCAGACAAATGTAGACAGGCCTGTAAGTGAGCAAACTATACCTATGAGGAATAAACTCCTTAACAATCAACCATGTGAGAACAAAAGGGTAGCATTTGCCCAAAAACAAAGTTTAGAAGGCAGGAAGGGGCAGGAAAGACAGATGGATGGAAAGGGCCCAGGAAAGAAGTGAGAAAAGTGCAGCTACGCTAAGGACATTGCAATCAAGGTCATGACAAAAAAAGTGTATAAACTGAAGGGAAAACTAATATGCTCTGTAAATTTTCATCCA